TGGTACGTGGCCGGGGGTTTCCGGCAGAACTCCTTGTAAAGTTCCCCAGCACGCAAGCCGTTCAGGAGGAGGGACAACACCGTCTTGTCGTCCATCTCCTCAACCTTGTCTACCTCCTCCTTCCACCGGGTAAGGAACTGAGTGAGGTTCTCAGATTCCCTCTGCCCGGCTGTACTAAGATAGGTGAATTTCTTCCTCTTGGTACAGTTCTCCTGGAACTTGGCCTTGAACTTCGAGGCCAAGTCGCTGAATGAGTCAATGTTTCCCGGGCGAAGCTTTTTGAACCACTCGGTGGCCCGATTCCGCAAGGTCTGGAAGAAAAGGAGGCACTTTTCTTCATCTGTGCAACCGTTCATGGTTGCACTCTGATTGAAGGAGTCTAGGTGGATTTCTGGGTCCTCCTTACCGGTGAACCTTGGGGCGTCTATCTTAACCTTTCGCGGGAAAGGTGTCAGATGGACCCTTGCGGTGAACGGGGATCCTGCAAGGGGTTTGTCTCGGTCATTCTTCTCCCCGACCTTCTTCTCCCGCCTTTCCAATTTCGCCTCCATCTGTTGGACGCGATCATTGGGGGTGGTTAACCGGTTAGCCACCGGTACCCTGGGTTGGCTTTCTGCCTCTTCCTCCTGGCGAGAGGCCCTCGTCCTGGCTGGCTCCTGCCGGTTTGACCGGGAGCGTTGGGTGCGGGCAGGCTCGGCCTCCCTCATCTCGCCTAACTGGGCGAATGCGCTGACATGGGCAACGCTTTGCCCCAGCCTTAGCTTGGCTGATTTTCTCTGGCCCTCTTCCCTTTCCCCCAGCCTTTCGAAGGCGGAGTTTCGGGAAGTTGCTGGGCGGATAGTCTTTCCCTTCTTTTTCTTGTGGGTCCTTGGAATGTCCCACTCGTCGTCTCCGCTTTCAACCGAGACGCAGTGACCATCCGGAGTGATTAGCGGATTCGTACCTTGCGGGGGACGCGAGGGCCCTGCGGCGTTAAGCGCACCAGTCAAGTTGATGGGGGCCACAGCGCTGACTAGCTGCGGCTGGAAAGGTGATGGTTGCGGTACTGGCGTTTGGAAGGGAGACACCGCCATTGGAGCTTGTAGGGGCATGGTTCCCGCACCTGGGAGAGCGAACGGGAACATACCGGGGAGAAAAGGCATCCCCCATTCTGTTGGCACATAGCCATGACCTGGCCAAAGCCCTGGATGGCCTGCAGGTTGGCGGGGTCATTCATGAACTGAGCCATGCTTGGTGGGAAAGTGACCCTCGGCCCAGCGGAAGGGACGGGAGCCGTGAATGGGCTGACCATGCTGGGTGTTGGAACCGAGCTTAGTCCCAATTGCAAAACCGGAGTAGAAACGGTTGGCAAGGTAACAGCCATGGGGATGTTGGTACCTTCAGTGGTGGCTTGCACCTGAGCAGGGGTGGCGTTGATTTGCTGGCTGGAAGACATCTTGAGTGGTGTTTTTGTGGGTAGGTTTGTGTTTAGAAAAGAAAAAACCTTAACGGTCCCACGGTCGGCGCCAAAAATGATGGTGTAAATTACTTGACCGGTCAAACTATACTAGACCGGGTCTAGAATAGTCGGCTTGATTCAGTAAAGTAAAGAAAGTAAACACTCAGAATGACCGGTAGGACTTTAGGTGGAACACCTGTAGCCCGAATTGTATTAAAACAAAGAATGCACGGTCACTTTTACAAGCGAGTTTAGAGAGAGTGAATTCGGCCCCCTCCTTCTGAGGTTTACATGCGTATTTATACTAGGCTGAAGGGGGGGGGCAAGACCACGTGCGCCCACGTGGGAGCACGCTGCTGATGTTCTGCGAGGTGACTGGTCCTGCACCGTCTTGTCATCTTGCGTGGGGGGCTGCGCCTTCGTCGCGTTCTGGTTTGGAAAGATGCCTTCAGCATCTCTGCAATTCCAACTGCTATAGTCCAAACCACCTCGGATTCTTTCTTGCCGACGCTCTCCATCCCTGGAAAACACACCGGGTAACTTCAAGGAATGAGCTCGTCGAAGCTAGGGAACGAAAAAGGTTGATAAGGTAGTTCGACCGGTATACTTCTTCCAGAAGTCTACCGGTCAATTATGGATCCATTAATGTTCACTTGTTGACGATTTAGGTCCTCCTTCCACATGTTCCATGATTGACCGGTCAACTACTTGGTCCTTTCCTTTGACCGGTCGTGGGTGGAATACACCCATCATAACCCGTACAAAATTTTCATTAGAGACAATTCAAAATTTTTATTACAAAACATTGTATTATGTTTGTCTTAAAAGTTTTACTATATTTAACTTGTATACAATTTTCAATAATATGTAAAAAAGTGAAAGGTGTAAGTGAGCATTTGTCTTTTCATTACAATATACATTACAATGTTTGAATAAAAATTTCATTTTATATAAAAATTTATTTATTTGAAACTAAAAAATATATAAAATTGAAAGCTCTACAGAATCAGAAGTGACATGACAATATTATTTTATTAAATATACATTGAAAATAGGCAAATAAAAGAAATAAAGTACTCCGTATAACACAATACATAGTGAAGGAGAAGAAAATTTATGGATTGAATGAGTAAATAAAATACTATAAATGAAAAGTATTGTGACAAATAAAAAACCACTGCATAGTAGTAAATGTAAAATAACGCAAAAATGTGAGATTTATTTTATAAAAATTGAAATCACTATTTATTATTTATTTAAAGTTTATTTTAAACATTTGTGTCATTATTTAAATAAGTTAAAATTACAATAATTTCAGCACTTCATCTTAATTCATAATAATACGGAGTAGTAGAATAATAAGTGAGTAGAAAGTACTTATACCAAATACGAGTATCTAGATGACTAGAAGTAAAATATTTTTTGTACATTCTTATGAATGCACATTTTCGAATAATTAAATATTCTTTTTTGAATAATAGGATACTCATTTTTTAGTAGCTTAATCCTCATTTTCGAGCATTATTGAAATTTAGAAAAATAAGTATTACTCAAAATTAATACTCAATTACATAATTAGTAAGTATGCAGCTATTTGTGAATGCACACTCTTTTCAAATGTCGGAAAATACCGTAAAACGATCATACAGTATACTCTCTCCATCCCAAAATGTTTGCCACATTTTCTTTTTCAATAGTCATGAGAATTTTTGTTTATTTTTACACGTTGTCATTAATTATTTAATAAAATAAAATATTTTTGTCACCTCTCATTACAAATAATTATTCAAATACTTTTACATAAAAAAATTATTTTATTTCTATACTAATATTTAAATAATACGGAGCATAAATTAAAAAATTACTCCCTCTGTCCACCATAGATCTTCCCAGACACTATTCACAGAGTCAAACTTTATTCACTTTGTTTGCTCAATTTTACTAGTCATTTCATAAAATAATATAGTCTTGTCACCACTAGTTTTGTAGAACTTTTCATGTAGTTTATTATTATATAAATTTTATTTTAAAATTTTACTCCTATAATCAATTAAATTGAATTGAAAATAAAGTCGGTCAAGTCTCGTAACGCGCAATGGGAAGATCATACATGGCTGGAGGGAGTAATATATTATCTTATTTTAGAAAATATGGTAAATATTTAGGGACAAAAAAACATATAACTAGTGAAAAAAGTTAGGAAGTGTGAAAGGGGAGGGGGAGTTAAAAGGAGTGAGGTAGGAGGGGGGCGTGAGCTGTGTGTAAGTAGGAAGTGGGAGTCCACCACCCATGTGCCCTCTTCCTGTCTCCACCAGCCGCTGCCGCTCAATGATTAGAGCCCTGTTCCCTACACCTTCTCCTCCTCCTCTTCTTCTTCTTCTTCTTCATCTGTTTCCTTCCTTTTATTTGTTTTTAATCTTTTATTATTTTCATTTCTAACTACTCTTATCTCATCACCACCTTCATTCATCCATCCCCAATTCAATTTCTCTTCATCCTCAACCTCTTATTCCGCTGCACCCTACCTGTATCTGTACCTTCACCTCCAACTTTTCTATTCCATCAAACCAGCGGCGTACGGATTATTATTATTATTATTATTATTATTATTATTATTATTATTATTATTATTATTTTCTCAAGCTCATATCCCTAGCTGGCGGCACAATCATTTGCGACGGGCGCGCTATGTCCACTCCGCCGGCAGATGGGTGTAACGGCGGTGCGATCACTGACCCTAAGCACCCCACCAACGGAACCCTAACTGTCAAGAAGCCCCCCGCCAAGGACCGCCACAGCAAGGTCGACGGCCGCGGTAGGCGCATACGCATGCCGATTGTCTGCGCCGCCAGGGTTTTTCAGCTCACCAGGGAGCTCGGCCACAAGTCCGATGGCCAGACGATTGAGTGGCTCCTCCGCCAGGCCGAGCCGTCTATTATTGCTGCCACCGGCACCGGCACGATCCCTGCCAGCTTCTCCACCGTCTCCGTCTCCGTCAGGAACTCCTCCTCCAACTGCCCCTCCATCTCCGCGCCCCTGGATCAGAAACCGTCCCAGCCTCTGACCCCCTTCATCCTCGGGAAGCGCCTCCGCTCGGACGAGGACGATGGCCTGGACGGAGGGGGCGGGAGCAAGGAAGATGCCTCGGGCAACGCCGCCGTGGTGGGTCCGGCAGCGGGATTCTGGGCCTTCCCGTCCAGGCCGGAATTCGGGCAAGTGTGGAGCTTCGCGGCTCCCCACGAGATGACGGTATCTGCTCAGCAGTTAAACTCTCATCATCAAGCCCGGTTTCTACAGCAGCAGATGGGGGAAGCGTCGGCGGCTAGGGTTGGGAATTACCTGCCCATAGCACAGGGCCACCTCAATCTACTAGCCTCCCTATCTGGTCCTCCTCCTCCTTCTTCTGGCCAAAGAGACGACGAAGGACGTTGAAGCTTAGCCATTTTTACTATCATCATCATCATCATCCATGGCTGCCCTTTTATTTATTGTCAATACATCATCATCGTCATCATCATCACATAATATATATATATTGTATAAGTGTGCCGTTTATTTGTTGCTGTTTCTGCTGCCAGTGTTGTGTAGATGAGAAATTGTCTCTTAATTCCTTTTGGTGTTTAGGGAGTCAAGGATAAACTTAGGGTTTGGGTTACGCATTGGTCAGAAATTGCATTGTTTTTCTTTATATATATTTTAAATTTGATCTCTCCGGTGTTTGGGGACGAATTGGTGGCGCGGGGAACTCCCGTCACATCCTCAATAATAATAAATTGTTCTTCATTCACACCATGGACTATCCTCCATGAATGATTTGTAACGAATCCGGGCAGGTTTCTGATCCATTGATTTGTGTAATCTGTCGTTGGAAGACACCATCTTTGCAAAATGTTTCATTTCATCTCCTTATGTGAATGGATGCAATAATTTGTTCCATGAAATTCATAGCCCATGCCATTCTTCTGGTTTTTGGCAGAATGTGCTTCTTCATCCTTTTCTTTTCATGTCAAGATTGATGAACTGTTAGCTAACTAACTAATTTACTCCATATATGGAAATAGTAAATATCTAGAGTTTCAGCATTACTGCATTGTTGTTCGAAAGGCTAACTATGATGTTGCAGATAGATTTGAAGCTTGAAGCAGATTAGACAATGCCATATGATCCCCCGTGTTTCCTGCTGCAGAGTATGTATGATCAAACACAAACATATGAAAGCTGCGTAAGCAACTTTCGAGGAATACAGGGTATTCCCATCCGGGATTTGCTAATTGTCCCCTCATATTTGTCATGGTTGTTGGAACCATATCATCTTTTAATTTGGTGATAAGCTATTTGCTCGAATTCTGAGAAGTTTTGCATATCTTCTTGTAGTTGTGATTTGTAAAGTTGCAGGTGGTCACATTGGTACTGGCGGAAGGACTTCAAATGTACGGGAGCATGTTACCTTGCTCCTCACAATGCGGACACCACAATTAGATGTGGTCTACACTTTTCCTAGTGTGTGATGGATTGATCAATGTGCCCACGCATTTGATTGGGAAGCAGGTCCAGCCTAAACTCATACTTCCTCCGTCCCAAAAAGATTTACACCTTTCAAAAAAATTGCGTCCCACAATCTCCTACTCATTTATATTAAAAAATCACTTTTACCCCTTACTTTTTCAAACACTACCTATCACATCATATCTTTTTCCTAATAATTTATACATTACATCCTACTTTTATCCATCACATCTAGGGTATTTTTGGAAAGTTAACACAAAATTATCCCTCCCTTAATTTCAACTTTAGACAAAACGTGTAAATCTTTTTGGGACGGAGGTAGTACATGGTAAGTGATGACAGACCGCCACAATGTAGTGTCACTTACTTGTACACACTTTAATCCCACATCAATTACACTTTCCCTATACACTCTTGAAAAATGCAAAGGTAAGATAATACTCACATGTCTATCTTTCTACTTTTGTATTTGGTTGCTACGGAGGTTTCTTTCACTTTCTTTTTTAAGTTTAGATCGCGTGTTTCATTTTTACACTACAATGTCGGAACGACTAGCTGCCAAGTATGACATTGAGGAGGATAGCATCCCGACGAAACCGTAATGTGTGAATCGACTCAACGGGAGAAGGTGTTGCATCGTCAAAATATATGATTGAAAGAGAAAATGAGATTTATCTCCTTGGGTAAAGCCAAGGTAACCCCACATGGGTGACCCCATGCTTTACACAGACACACAGACTATAATCTTCGACACACATACAATTGTCATCTATGTGTGTTTGTGCAAATCACGAGGTCACCCATGTGAGGTTACTCTAACAGAGTCCTTATCTCTTTAGAGGGTATAATTTTTACTTTTGGTAATTAGTGGAAATGAGTAACACTGGTAATTTTTTCTCTCACGAAGGTATACTTCTATTGTCTCATGTCTTTAATCCAGTTTTTCTTCTCGTATCAATATAAAAAAAACTCGAGGAACTTAATGTCTACTCTCTCCGTCCCCATTTTGATTACAAATTTTCTCTCCCCTCTCGATAACTTTTGTTTATTTATGCGATTTCATTGAGTATTTGATAAAATAAAATATTCTTGTCACACTTTATTTTGTAGAACTTTTGACGTAGTTTTCTAATATGTAATTTTTATTTCGTATTGATATACCGATTTGTAAATAAAATGATCTTAAAAAGTGAGATATTTTTCCTCGTAAATCCCAATTTGTAATGAAATTGGGGATGGAGAGAGTGATCCAAATTGGGGAGTATAAAATTATTGAGTCAAAAGTGATGTGTACTACACCTATATGTCCTAATCTACTACCTAACTTTACTATAGCTAAGTACAAGAGCAAAGTACACTCGTCAATTTTTTTAGGGGCACCGTCCGTGGCGGTTCGTGATACAACCGAAATCTATCACGGATCACACTTGTTCAAACAGATCAATATCGGTATAGGGCGAACTCTAAAACCATTTGGTACTTTAGAGTCATGAATGTAGACATGATGTATACGATTGATTAGGGGTGAGCAAGTACCGAACCGATACCGAAATTTCCCGAAAAAACCGAGAATACCGAACCGAAAAAGTACCAAGAAGAAACCGAACCGTACCGAACCGAATGGTCGGTACGATATTCGGGAACGGTACGAGGTGACGTCCCATACCGAAAATTCCGTACCGAACATATATACTAAAATATTATAAAAATAATACCCCGAAGTAATATTTTTATATTCCTTCACTAAATATTAATTTTTTTAAAAAAAATATGTTCAAGTTCTATGATGTGTATATTATATTTTTATTTGAGTTTTAATTTTTGTGTATGAACATAAAAGTATTCGCAAAGATTCGAAATACTCCTATGTTGTCATTCATTTTTTTAGTTTGTGAAATACTCTCTCTGTCCTAAAACATTCTTCCCACTTTCCCTTTTCCTCCGTCCTAAAACTACATTTCCATTAGAAAAAAAAGATGACAAATGACATTAATACCCTCATGTATTCACACCAATTATCTTCTAACTCTATATTTTGAATGATTGCAAAAACAATTTTCAAAAAATCTTTTTTAAGGAGGATAAAATTTGAAGTCAAAGCCAAAAATTAAAAATGGGGAAAAGTCAAACTGGGAAGAAAGAATTAGGACGGAGGGAGTATAAACTAAGTTTTGATACGCATCTCTTGCATTTAAATATTCATTTTTTTAATTTTTCATATTTTTTATTTAAATTCACTTTTAATTTTCAAAAATAAAATGGTATTGTTAAATTTTAACATGTAAAGTAGGTATGTATATTTATCCCGATTTGTACCGATACCGATAACGAACCATCCCGAACCATACCGAACCGATATTTCGGGATTGGGATCGGTACGGAGCAAAATCCCATACCGAACCGAAATATTTGGTACGGTATCGGTACGAGCTAAATACCGTACCATACCGTACCATGCTCACCCCTACGATTGATTGAAAAGCACTTATTGGACAGGCTCGTATTTGGACTTTAGCGCCAAAGATAGATCTGGGATGGGCTTAACATTGAATTTGTGCCCATTTATTTGGGCCTGATCTCACGGGTTGAAAGCTCTACTCATATCTGTCCACTTGGACAGGTCGAGCAGTCCACTGCTCGACCCGAAATCAGGAACACAAAATTGCACATGCCAAAAAAAATCAAGTTGGTTACTGTCATAGTGCCATTGCAAGTTTAACTAAAAACAAAGCCCAACAACCAAATAAAAACAAGAGAAAACCATAGGTGTGCAGTTTCCAAAAGAGGAATGCTAGGGGTACACCAAAAGTGTACCCCAAATGTACACCACTCCCTTCTTCACCACACATTTTTATTTGATTTTTATTTACTTATTTTTATGAATTTTCTTGCCTTTTTTTGTGGACAAGGAGGGGGTGTGGGACATATGGGGTACACATTTGGTGTACCCCTAGTATTTTTCCTCTCCAAAAACATAATCGATTCAAGCACACCTATCTGGTGAGAGTAAATGATTATTTTATCAAAAGAGTGAAAATTGAGAAAATACTTTCTCGATTCAAGCACACATATATATTGCAAATTAGATTTTAAACACAAAAGAGCATTACGTATATGAACTATGGAGTAACTAATGGGCGGGCTTGTTGGCCTAGACGGGTCAACTTTCAATCCCTTGATCCGCTAAAATAAAATTCGGATTCAACCCGACCTCTTGTATGAGTATTTGTTTTTCTCTAAATTCGCCCATTTTTAAAGGCAGGTTAGACGAATTAGTCCTTATTTGTGTATGTCTAATGTACATGAAAAAGTTTGGATATATCAAAATTGTACCTCAAGTGCTTTCATACCGCACAACTTTTAGGGTTAAAAAAAGAAAAAATAAATGAAAATATTTGGTTACAAAGGGCCTATTTGGAAACAGCGTTAGAGATTAGCGTTAACATTTTGAAAAGGTTATCTACGAGCAGCGTTTAGCGTTAGCATCTTCAAAATAATCTACACCATTAAAATTTTATCCAAAATACGAACGCTAATCGCTAAATCTATTTTCAAAGAGGCCCAAAATGAATATTGTACACTTATGTGCAATATCCCTACCATAAATATCATCTCTCAAGGTACATACATTTGAAATTTTTCCTCAGTTTGAAAAGAAAAGTACGGAGTAAAAGAAAATCAACCCCGCTGTGCTCCTCTCCTGCAGCGGCTTGCTTCATCAATCAACCCCTCCCCTTTGCTTCACTTTCTACTCCGTTCCACAAACATCTCCTCATCGGTTTCTACGGTAATCTGAATTTTCGTTAGGTTCGTATTTGTATTTATATGGTGATTATTGTTTTTGGACTCTGAATGCATTCCTCCGTCCTGTTCTTGTTTCGGATTTTCAAGACATGGAGAACGCGAAAGCTAGTGATGGAAACAACAACGGAGACGAAGTGGCCAAACTGGCTCCGGCAGCCGGCCGCCACCAAATCCCTAGCGATTTCACCGTCAATGATGATGGACCTGCGCCCGTGTCCGATGAAAGCGCCAACGGCCAATTCGTCACTGGCACTGATATGAATCAGGACGGCCAAGGTGGGACCCACCCTTCTTCTAGGACTCCCTTCACCGACCTCAGCCAAATAGATGCCGATCTTGCCCTCGCCCGTACCTTACAGGAGCAGGTTCACGGTCTTGACTAATTTCTCTGGATTTATAGTCTCTGTTAGTTTTTTTTCACTTAACTCCATCTCTCAATTTTCTGCGAATTGGTTGCTTGTTTTTTTGGTGTTTAATAAGATTTCGAAGCTATGATTTTCAAATCTGAATATTCTTGAAACCAGTAGATACCAATGTTGTTGAGCAAAAATCGTGAATATCTTTGTGGGGTTTTTTTAATTTTTTTAAATAAAACTTGGTTTGTTATAACTATCTTATTGTGGCACATGGGTTAGTTATATACTGAAATTGGGTCGCTTCGTTTCTTCTGTCATCTTCTATGAGAACCGAAATCATGAGAAATTTTCATGTCTGGGATGATCCTCTTACTGTTGAGTTTAATCCATCAACTCCCCACAAAAGGCATCATAACCCACTTGGATATATGCAACTTAATCTATTTTATCGAATTGAAAACAAACTAGACGTGCATTTAATTCATTCTTTTTTCTGAGTTTGAAACTCGAATGTTGAGAAATGGAAACTTAAAGTTGTAGGGTAATTGGATTGCCTGGTGACTTGTATTCTATTGGGAAGCTAGGTTTAGTAGGCTATACCTTTTTTAGTGTTTACTCTGTGTGTGTTGTCATTTATTCTTTCTTTCATTCTATTGTGTTTGTTTTAAATTTACTTTATTTGCCTAACTTGTGTTGGTTTATCCTGTTTTGTTTTCTTGAACTGGGGGTCTTTTAGAAACAAGCTCTCTAACTAACTTTTATACGTAAGGGTTAAGTTCTGCGTACAACCCTACACCCAACCTACCCATACTTTGTTTGTGGGATTCTACTGTGTTGTTGATGTTGTTGAGAAATGGTAGCTTAGTTTTCAGATATAGAGAGTTCATTTGGATGCATAGGTTGATTGAGTAATGCATGATTCAAGTATCATTTCATCGTTTCAAGTTCATTCATACTTGGCTTTTGACTATCTTTGTTGTTGTTTCTTCTTCTTCTTTTCCATTGGAAAAGGAAAGAGCATATATGATGCTTACAATGAACGGTGATGGCATTGATTATGTCAGTGAAGATGAATATGAACACGACTACCAAAATGATAACTCTGCTGATCCTAGTGAAGAAGATGGTAGCCATGTAGATCTAGATGATGAAGATGCCTTTGATTTTCATGCTCATGAAGAACTAAGTGACGACGAGATCCAAATCACTGAGTTGGATCCATCTGCTTTTTCAAGTGATGAGGCATATGCTAGAGCACTGCAAGAAGCTGAAGAGAGGGAAATGGCAGTCAGATTACTCGCCCTTGCTGGAATAAATGAAGGCATGCGTGTTAGTTAAGAATTATTATCAACATTTTAGGATCTTTCTAAATTATGTCATAATGCTTAATATTGGGTATTTTATCGTTGTTAGCTTATGCAGGGAGAGCTGTAAGTGAAGATGATCTTGGTCAAAATTCTCAGGTAGATTTCTTCTTTGAACTCACATAATATAGCATTTTTATAGAAAAACACTAGGTCCTAAGTAGGTGAAAGACGGGGTTAGGATGGGGTTTGGGTTTGTAGGATCAGAGGCTGCATCTTGTGTGTCTGGGTTCCTCTTGGAAGTGGAAAAGTATGAGTGGTTGTCTCTCTTTGAGATTGCATTCAAATTTCAGATCTCAATCTATTATTTCTAGTGCAATATATAATTAAAAGCTTCCAAAATAAAAGGACCCTGAAATAGGGCCTCTAGTAATCATTTTAAAAGGTTGAATTGGAAAAAGTAAAACCTTGATGCTGTTTAACATTAGGAAAGTTGGCAATGGACATTATTTTGGAATGACCTAAGAAGGAAGTATGTCAAATAAATTGTGGCAAAGGTAGTTACTTTGTTTATGTTTGTTTTATTGGTTTCGGATGTCAGTGCTGCACAAGTGCACATTGGGCTTTAAGTTGTGATTGTGTGAATCTTTCAGGATGGCTGGCACTCCTGGCAGGAAGTTGATCCAGATGAGCTCTCTTATGAGGTGAATTTATACGTTTTTCTTTTTAAATTCTACTCTTTACAATTGATAATGTTCTTAAATCTTTTAAGGTCCAACCTTCCTATTATTTCGTATGTATGTATTGTAGGAATTAATTGCATTGGGTGAAGTAGTTGGAACTGAGACCCGGGGACTTTCTGCAGATACAATTGCCTCCTTACCATCAATGAATTACAAAGCAGAAATTACCAAGGATGGATATAATGATTCGTGAGCACACTAAACTCACATTTTACTTTTAATGATATCATATTTCGTCTAAATTCTTGTTTTTTTGTGTGTCAGATGTGTCATCTGTCGATTGGATTATGAAAATGATGAGACCTTGACAGTGCTTTCCTGCAAGCATTCATATCACCCTGATTGTATAAATAACTGGCTAAGAATAAACAAGGTATGCCACATTTTTTTGTATCATCTCCATTGTCTTGCTCATTTCTGGGGTTCTCCTTGTTCATTTCCAAATTCCAATATTGCATCCATTTATGATCTTGCTGCCGTGTTTGGCCCTGGCGATAAACTTTAGCAAGTTATAAATTGGCTGAAAGGGAGTAAAAGATGAACTGTTCAAACGAGGTACAAATTGTTTGAAAAAGGTACAAAATTAGGCAATATTAAAGAGACACCCAGGTTCATACATTTTTCTTATAACAATGCAACTATTTGTGAGGATTATTCAAATATTCAACAACAACAACCCAGTTGGATCCCCCAAAAGTAGGGTCTAATTCAAATATTCAGAATTTTCAAAACATTTTCTGGCAGTATCATAAAAAATACCCCCTCTGTCCATAAGGGGCCGTGCTTCAAAAACTTCTGTACCAAACAAGAGTCCAGCATGAAGTCAACTTTCATTTTTAAGTAAAATTAAAGCAGCAAGCAAGTTAGGCGAATTCCTACAAAGTACAAACTGTTCATAATTTGTAAAAGATTATGCCTCGTTTGAGCTGACTAGAAATAAAGAGGTTGTAAGCTCAAAGATGTATTATTAGTATTGCTTCCAAACGTTCTTGAATTAGTACTGCTTCCAAGACTTGTTTTTCTTTTGTGTACATACTTCCATTGATTGCAGTGTTAGTTTATTGTGGCAAGAAGGGCATCTGGCATAAACGTTTTGCGACATAGTGACATTTTTTCATTAACTAAGTGTCAACTAGCTTTAGATAATAAATTGACTTTATAAATTCAATGATGTAATACGGAGTATTATGAAATTTTGATGCGTGTAGGTCTGTCCAGTCTGCAGTGTTGAAGTCTCCACTTCTGGAAACAGTTAGCAGATAGCAAAGTCTCTCCCATGGCTCCGGGATTTCTTAGGAAACAAACGACATGAAACATCCTATAACCCGGGACACAATGATTGTCATCGATCATCTTTGGCAATTCTTCTTGGTTCTTTGCAAAAACAGTGTCAATGTGACTATTCGTTTTACTGGTGCTATTATTCACAGATAATAACATGTCCACTGGTTTTAGTGTTCCAAATGATCAGTGGCCATCACTGTACCCCATCTTCATTCCATTTGCCTTTACCTGAAGAAAGAATGAACTACTTGAATACTGTGGATTATGGTCTTATTCGGACTAGTTATAGTGCACACACTTACATGAATAAATAATGTAGTGATACTTTCACTCAGAGTGAGTATTTATGTCCTGTAGCGGTCTAACAAGTAAACATCATTAGGTATGATTGTCAACTGCAAAACCTGAGTATGATTGTCAAAGGCAATAGTGCAGTGGAAACAACAACATACTCGTTTAACCTCACAAAAAAAAGGTCTGGAGGGTATGTGTAGAACAATAGTGCAGTGGCATGTTAGATAAAATGGATGTTTCTCTGTGCTTATAAACTAGTCAAAATTGTTTGAGCAATGCTAGGTTCACAAATAGAATACTCACAAACTTCACAAACTTACTATTTATGATTTAAAATTTTATTTTAAAATCATTTTAGACCATTTAATTTTTTCCATGGAAGTTCACAAATAGTAAGTTTGTGAAGTTTGTGACCATTGTGTTTGTGAACCAAGCATTTCCCAAATTGTTTATAAGTGGTTTTGAACTTATAAGTCAGTTAATGACGTGTTTCTCTATGTTTATAAGTTGACTTATAAGCTAAAAAATAAGTAAGTCTTATTTATTTTTAAGCTAGTTTTTTCAAAACAATATTTTGACCAGATTATTTACCAAATTATTTCTCATCATTTATGAATAATCCTACTTGATTTATCTATCATTTAAGTCATTTTAGTTTTACGAAAGAATATTTGACTTATAAGTGGTTTATAAATTTAAAACTGCTTATAAACAAAAGCCAATAAGTACCAGCACAGAGAAACACCTCCAAAGCATGACAAAGAGGCACCCTTAGTAGAAGCAGCAAAAAGCTCCCATTTCCAAAACTACACAATGAATAAATAATAATGGCTACAAGTACAATATATTTTGTAACAATAAAAGCTTAATGCTCTCTCCTTGTTGAAGGTTTCTTCTGCTCAAACTGTGATAAAAGAAGTAGATGATGTTTCCAGCAAGTGAGATTAGGTGATATTAAGGTCCCCTTTGGTACACTGAATCAGCTTATTCTGATGATTATTATCAGCACAATACACAAACAACTTTAAGACATGGATGGATGTCATGTCATTGGCTATCCAATCTGGGAAAGATGTGGAGGGATGCAGCCATCTTCAATCAGAGTTCTTACATCCGATGAAGTTCTTGGATCAGTAGACATGGTTAGTATAGCATCTTTGAGAAGTGGATGGTACTTGTCTCCTAAACCCGGCCAGTTGCCCTTCCGGACCATCCTTCCCAGCAAATCATAAGCTGCGTTTGGATTTGATGCTGATATATAAGCATTTATCAGTACGATATATACGAAAGCATCGGGCTCCATATCTTTCTTTTCCATTTCTTGCAAATAAACCAGACCATCGTCTGGCTTGCCGCACTTGCCCAGCCCGTTTATCAAAGCCATGAAGGCAATTCTATTCGGACAGCAGCTCTTGCTCTCCATTTCAAGCCAAAGCTTCAGGGCGTCATCTGGTTTCCCAGCATTGCATAGCCCGTGTATTAACGTAGTGTACGTGATGACATTTGGTTCCTGTTGGTTGTCAAGCATCCTTGAAAAAATTAGGATGGCTTGATCAACACAACCATACTCACACCAACCGTCAATGAGTAAGTTGTAGGTAACAACGGATGGCACAAGCCCCTTGTCTAGCATCTCATTCACAAGATCCTGTCCTTCCATTACTCTTCCGGCTTTACACAAACCCTTTAGAATTACGTTATAAGCCACCACATCAGGGCAATAGCCGCGTCCACGGATTTGTCTGAAAAGCTCCATGGCGTCATCCAGTTGCTGAATTCTCAGGAGGCCATCTATGGCTGCCGAGTAAGCAACCACGTCAGGGGGGAAGCCTTCTTTGACCATCTCAGCAAGGAAGTCACATGCCATGGCCGCTTTTCCATCTTTGCAAAGTGTTGTGACTAGCAAGGTATAGTTCTTTATCCATGGCTCGTGACCGTTCATGCGCATTTCCCTCACCACACCAAGAGCCCGTTCGACATCCCCTTGCCTGCATAAGCTTCTGAAAATGGAGTTGTACGAGAAATGAGTTGGCTTGAATCCCAAATCATTCATTTCAACTAGAAGTGCCCGACATTCATCCAAACGGTCAAAGCTACTCAGACAATCAATTACAGTATTGTACAAACGCACGCTGTTTTGACAGCCAATTCGATTCATTTCTCGAAAGAGGGCAAGAGCGGCTTCTAATTTATCTGACTTGCACAAACCATCAATGACGGTTTCAAATGATTCGGTATTGGGGCGAATGAACTCCTTCATGAAGAAGAAAAGTTTGTCATCATCAAAACTACTGTCATATTCCATGCCCACTCTTGCCCGGAGGAGATGGCTAGCTTTATCAATCGAACCTTTATTCATTAAACTTCTCAGAACAGAATTGTACAGGGACATTTTTGCTTTTGGACCCAACTTCAAATTACTTGTGTTCTCTAGTAACCAGATAATCTCACTCTCGTCGGCCACACAAGGTATAAGCTCGGAAAGAATCTTAACATCCGCATTGAGACCAGATTCATTCATCTTCATCTCTCTGAATAGGCGCAAAGCTTTCTCAGTATCTTTATTTCTGCATAATCCAGCCATTAACGCACCATAAATGGCAACATCGGGTGAAAATCCCAAGTTCCTCATTTTATCCAACAGCAACAATGCCTTGTCCATGTTCCCCTCCTTCACAAAACCATGAATCAAGACGCAAAACGTCTTCTCGGCTATGTCGATGTTGAGTCCTTCCATCCTCTCAATCAGCTCAAATGCCTTGCTCACCTCCCCACACTTGGTATATGACACCAACAAGATGCAGAGCACGCGGGCATCAACCCATCCCCTCTCCTGCATCTCATTGAAAATGTTCAAAGCATTTCCAAACCTCCCCGCATTGCAGTAGCAACGCAACACGGGAGTCAGTGCATATTTGTCCAGCACCCAGCCGTAATCGTGCATCTCGGTCAACCTCAGCTCCATCGTAGCAACATCTTTGGACTTTGAAATTACCTCCAGCAAGCAGCTATAAGTATAAATATTCGGGACGCAAAGGCCTGAGTCTTTTAACTGATCAAACAACGCATTAGCCTCCTTAACCAGACCTTGATCACCCAAGCACCTCAAAAAGAAACCCAATGCCCCAGGGGTCATATAGCACTCGGATTTAACTAACTCAGCTGATAAAATTCTCAGTGAGTCATTTTGTCGAGCACGTGACAGGACTTCAGCCATGGCATTGAAGGTGTAGCAATTGTGGTGGTACCCAGGTTGGTTCGAGGCCCAGTCAAAGAAAACCTGGGAAATTCTCCAACTCTTGAGACTCCTTAGGACGGATTCAACGATCTTGGGAGTGAGCTCCAACCCCAAGTCTGCGGCTTGCTGTTTTTCCAAAATAATGGGATGCTTTGTGAGGATAGAAATGAGGGTATCTACAATTTTGAAGTGCTCTGGAGGAAGAAAAGCACTGCAATTTGTGGAAATGGGTCTTGAGAGTTTAGTCGAAGTGGCGTTCTTGCCGCGTTGAGTGATCAGCCCCTCTGCTGTTATTCTAAAGACTGTGAAATGATAGCTTCGTATTCTGTAGAGAGCCGCCATGGAACAAGCTTAAAGCTTTTTGGGAGGAGAATCGAACTTTATCTGCATTATTATGACAGGTGACGAGATGATCGAAAATTTGCCGCGAAGTGAATGTAATTTCGATTTTTCCTTTTTTTCTTTCTTTCGTTCACTGGATGAGCTCTGCAGAGTAGCGGCTATTGGCTGCACGAAGGAGAGGGAGAGAATGAGGAATGAGGTTGGAAAATAAAATTAGTTGAGGGGTCTAGAAACAATTTATTCAAACACAAGGGGTCAAATTGTTGAATAAGTCAGTTGACAAAGTCATTATTTATTAATAGGTTTATCATTTCAGTTATTGTCCTATTCTTATGTCATTAGTTACACTTGTGTGGCTTTCCTTATTTTTAGGAAATGCAGTAGTGTCTATCTTATTGCTTTGTATAGCCTATAAATTGGCGTAGCTATAGACTAATAAAATCATCAAGTCCTCTTCCCATTCCTGTTCTGTTTTTGAGCTTGTTCTGATCCATATTAAATATTTATAATTTTAACATTTCTTCTAAACAAGGTTGCCTACAACCTGTTTGATAAAATTCCCCAAAGATAATTTGTCTTACATTTGGTATCAGAGCCACATAAATTCACTGCAGCAGCAATATCAATTGATCCATGGCATCTGAAGGCTTTGTTCAACCTTCTATTCCCCGCTTTGATGGTCACTACGATCATTGGAGCATGTTGATGGAAAACTTTCTCCGGTCCAAAGAGCTTTGGGCTGTGGTGGAGACTGGAGCAGCAACTCCCACCGCTGAGATGCCGGCAGACCAAAGGACGAGGTTGGAAGCTTTAAAACTGAAGGATCTTAAAGCTAAAAACTACCTCTTTCAATCAATCGAACGGGCTATTTTGGAGACCATTCCTTGCAAGGAAACCTCCAAAGATATTTGGGAATCCATGAAGAAGAAATGTCAAGGAAATGCAAAGACAAGGAAGCTGCAGCTTCAAACTCTTCGTTCGGAGTATGAATTACTTTGAATGAAGGATGGTGAGAAATTTGCTGAGTATTACTCAAGGACTATGACAATAGTCAACAAGATGCGGTGTTACGGTGAAGAGTTAGACGATGGAACCGTTGTTCAAAAGATATTAAGGTCAATGGCGGCAAAATACAACTATGTTGTATGCTCGATTGAAGAGGCGAATGACACTGATGAAATGTCACTTGATGATTTGGAAAGCTCCGTCCTGGCTCATGAAAAGAAGCTGATCTCCCAGGACAATGAAAGTGAGCAGGCTTTGAAGGCCTCTGTAAATCACCATTCCTCATCAGGAAACAGAGGTGGTCGGGGCAGAGGTCGTGGGAGAGGAAGAGGAAGCAACTACCAAAGCCAAAATCAGCCCAATCAGTTCCAAGGAAGAGGAGGAGAACATGGAGGTCATCACTCAACAAACCATAAATCAAGGTCAGTAGACAAATCAAAAGTTGAGTGTTTTCGTTGCCACAAGTATGGTCACTACCAAAATGAGTGCTACACCAATTTGAAGGGGCAAAATGAGGAAAAAACTCATTTTGCTGAAAAGGAAGAAGAGATATCCCTGTTGATGGCTTGCAGCATTACCGAACCAGCTCAAAAGAACAAGTGGTATTTGGATTCTGGGTGCAGCAACCATATGTGTGGAGATAAGAATGTTTTTACCACTCTTGACGAGTCATTTTGCAACACTGTCAAGTTTGGTGATAACTCTACTGTTTCAGTTATGGGAAAGGGAACAGTCATTCACCAAGCCAAAGATAACTCCACCCACATCATCTCGGATGTTCTTTTTGTTCCAGATTTGAAGGCCAATCTGCTCAGTATTGGTCAACTTCAAGAAAAGGGATATGAAGTTTCTATCAAGGATGGAGTGTGTCGTATTCGAGATGCAAAGTTGGGTTTGATTGCTCAGGTCAAAATGACGGAGAATCGTATGTTTCCACTTTATCTTCAACCTACTAGTCATGCTTGTTTCACAGCAAGGCTAAAAGACGACAAGTGGCTGTGGCACTTTCGCTATGGACACCTAAACTTTGGTGGACTAAAGACTTTGCAGCAGAAAAATATGGTGTCTGGTCTCCCTCAAATCACCGTTCCCTCTCAAGTATGTGAAGAGTGTGTTGTCAGCAAACAGCACCGTAATCAATTTCCAAAAAGAGCATCCTGGAGAGCAAAGAATGTATTGGAGCTGGTACATTCAGATATCTGTGGGCCGATTAAACCATTATCCAATGGAGGTAACAGATATCTCATTACTTTCATTGATGATTTTAGCAGAAAAATATGGGTTTATTTTCTGAAAGAAAAGTCAGAAGCTTTTGATGTATTTAAGAGCTTTAAAGTGCTGGTTGAGAAGGAAAAAGGTTGTCCTATCAAGGTCCTCCGCACAGATCGTGGGGGTGAATATATGTCTACAGAGTTCAAGAAGTACTGTGCAGATAATGGAATCAGGAGGCAACTTACATCAGGCTATACACCACAACAAAATGGTGTATCCGAACGGAAGAATCGCACTATTATGAACATGGTGCGAAGCCTGCTGAAGAGAAGTAGCATCCCTAAGTCTTTTTGGCCAGAAGCAGTGAATTGGAGTGCTCATATTTTGAACAGAAGTCCTACACTTGCTGTTCAAAACATGACACCAGAGGAGGCTTGGAGCGGAATTCGTCCCTGTGTTGACTATTTCCGAATCTTTGGGTGTCTTGCATATGCCCATATTCCAGATCAAAAAAGATCCAAACTTGATGACAAAGGGGAGAAATGTATTTTCCTTGGTGTTAGTGAT